CAGTTACGGCACATGCTGCGCACATGGGCAGCAGTTGAGCTTTGCTAAAATGCTGGCAGAAGTGTTAGCACGTTTTTGGGGCCATTATCCCATTATTATTAGCATGATTTACATAATCCTAGTAGTTGGGGTTTGTCAACTACATTAGGCTAAAAAAGTGGGCTGTGTGCGACAAGTGTCTAGGCCTAAAGTGCGACAAGTGTAAGGCAAAGGGGCTGTCTCATGTTTTATAAATGGACAACATCCTTATGCTTGGGGCTGAGGTGAAAAACGTGTATGAGTGCACATTGAGAGTTAGGAAAGAGTCCTAAGTCTGTTTTCAAGAGTGAAAACACCTAAGGTCAAGAATGATCTTTTGTACATGGCTGTACTTTGAGTTGAGTTTCTTTGTATGCTCGAGTTAAATAAAAAGTTGGGAAAAGAGTTTCATGTATATTGTGCCTTGTGTTCATCTATATTTTCTGTTTCCATTACTTAATTTCGTTGCCTAAAATCAGTCCGAAGACTTACTACATTGAAGCTGCCTAAAAATAGTCTAAGTCCAAAGTTGCTGTAATTTTGGCTAAGTGTTGTGTGAAGGCTAAAGTCAAGCGCGGGACTTGGCTGCCGCGCAGGCTGGTTTTCGACAGACTAAAAATGCGCCTGTGACAACTGGTATTAGAGCGGAGCAGAGTCGTGACAGAGACACGACGGGCAGTGGCAGATTTCGTGGTCTTGTTTGAGAATATGGCCGGTGGTAACAACAAACTGCGGGAAAGGCTAACGAAACTGGAGGCATTGGTGGGAAATATTCCTGAAGGTGAAGAAATTCAGACTCTCGTGACAAGGCTTGCCTACCTTAAGGCAGAATTATTAAGGCTAAGTCAAGAGAATGCAGATCTGAAAGCCGAGACAGTGGTGCTGCGGCGTGATGTGCGCGAGGATGCTCCTCAACATGGTGCTGATCGTCTCAAGGTGAAAATTCCTGAACCTAAGGCATTTGTTGGTGCAAGGAGTGCACGTGAATTGGAGAATTTTCTTTGGGATATGGAGTAGTACTTCCATGTTATTCGTGTGCAAGACGAGAAGGAGAAAGTAACTTTGACTAGCATGTATTGAGTGAAGATGTTAAGTTATGGTGGCGCACTCGTGTGGCTGAAGATGATAGTTTGGGCAGACCAAAGATTGAGTTGTGGGAGCGGCTTAAAAAGGAATTGAAGGATCAGTTCCTTCCTAGCAATACGTCTTGGATTGCTAGGGACAAACTGAAAAACTTGAGGCAAACCGGATCAGTGAGAGCATATGTCAAGGAATATACTTCTTTGACGTTGAGCATCAGCAATATATCGGAAGAAGACAAATTTCACAACTCCATGAGCGAGTTGCAACAGTGGGCACAATTGGAGTTGCGTAGGCAGAATATTCAAAACCCCGCAAGTGCTGTGTCTGTTGCTGATGCATTGAGCGATTTTCACTTGAGTGATGAGACTTCTGCTTCAAAGTCTAACGATGGAAAGAAAGACAAGGCAAAGGAATGGAAGAAATGTGAAAACAAAAATACTAATAAAGACAAGGGGAAGGGAAAGTATGAGGCTGGAACTTCAAAAAGCAAAGAGAAGGGCAGCAAATTCAGTGGCTGTTTCATTTGTGATGGGCCACATGGAGCAAGGGACTGCCCGAAGAAGGCAGTGTTAAATGATATGACTGTCGCGGACAAGAGGACTGCAATGGAGGCAATGACCAGTGACAAACAAACTGTTGGTGTCAATGCAATTGTGGATGAAAAGAAGGGAGGCCAAGGGGCGTTGCTTGTCAACCCCTTAGGACTCATAAATTGAGCTAACCTCGACGAGGACGTCGAGTTTCAAAGGGTGTGGGTGGTTTGTTAGGCCTCTGCCACTTTGAGCTTGACTTGACAACGAGAGTGTTGTCATGGGGCAGCAAGAGTGTTGCCAAGCTAAGGTGCACGAGTAGCACTAAGGCAAAAAGGGAAACGGGCAAGTGATGGCCAAGGCTTTGACGGAGGTGAGGCAGCTTGGCAAGGGCTTGACAATGAAATGCGGGCTGAGGGTGACACTTGATCATGGCAAAGGAATCAAGCTATGAGGCAGTGATGCCAAGACAAGGCAAAAATGAAGTGGCAAAGGTAGGCTAAAGTGCAACAGAAGGCAGTGCGCGGGACAGACTTGTCATGGTAATGGGGCGCGGCAAAGGGCCATATTTGTGGGCAGTGGCATAGGAAAAATATGGCTACAATGCAGCTGAGTACAAGGCATTGGCGCCTCATTCAAGCCAAGGCACGAAAATGGGCAGCAAGCTTCAGATTGACCAAGTCAAGGGCGGTTACGGCACATGCTGTGCACATGGGCAGCAGTTGAGCTTTGCTAAAATGCTGGCAGAAGTGTTAGCACGTTTTTGGGGCCATTATCCCATTATTAGCATGATTTACATGATCCTAGTAGTTGGGGGTTGTCAATTACATTAGGCTAAAATAGTGGGCTGTGTGGGACAAGTGTCTAGGCCTAAAGTGCGACAAGTGTAAGGCAAAGGGGCTGTCTCATGTTTTATAAATGGACAACATCCTTATGCTTGGGGCAGAGGTGAAAAACGTGTTTGAGTGCACATTGAAAGTTAGGAAAGAGTCTTAAATCTGTTTTCAAGAGTGAAAACACCTAAGGTCAAGAGTGATCTTTTGTACACGGCTGTACTTTGAGTTGAGTGTCTTTGTATGCTCGAGTTAAATACAAAATTGGGAAAAAAGTTTCCTGTATATTATGCCTTGTGTTCATCTATATTTTCTGTTGCCTTTACTTAATTTCGTTGCCTAAAATCAGTCTAAAGACTTACTACGTTGAAGCTGTCTAAAAATAGTCTAAGTCCAAAGTTGCTGTAATTTTGGCTAAGTGTTGTGTGAAGGCTGAAGTCAAGTGCGGGACTTGGCTGCCGCGCAAGATGGTTTTCGGCGGACTGAAAACGCGCTTGTGACACGTGCCACTATGGACAATTGATAGTGATAAGGGCATTTTTGTTTACTTTACTAATGCTAGGGGAACGAAAAGTATAACAGAGGATAAATGTAGACTATTTCCAATAGTACAGGGGTATATTCGGCCCTTTTCCCTTCATTTTCTCAACCCTAATCTAGAGGCGTTCATAAAATCCGAAAAATCGAACCAAACTGACCAAAAGATCGATACTTTTTTTTGTTTGGTTTTGATTTTGAATTTTAAAAACCGATCAAATTTGATTTGGTTTTGATTTTAATCAAAACATAACAAAAAAGAAAGAAAGAACTAAACCGACTATAGAAGTAGCTATTTAAAATTTATTATTACATGTAGGTCTGTGTGTGTATTTATACAAAGTTTCTAAAATTTTATGGTAGATATTAATCGTTTGCACTTTTAGTCTAGTTCTTTGCCTTCACATTCTAGTTTGATTGGTAATTTTCTTTTGCTAAGTACAACAACAACAACAACAACAACAAACCCAGTATGATCCCAACATGAATTTTTTTTTGCTAAGTACAAGAATATATTTCATGTTAAAATAATTTATTTTTAATCGAGTCCTTAAATTATTCATCACTATTTGATTCAATTATCATCAATATATCTTGGTAAATGATAGATTTCTCAAGGAGCAATTGGTTTGATAGTGTTATGTTGAAAATGTAGTCACCGGAATATGTGTTTGGTAGTGTACGTCTCATATTTAAGGAAAACCCGATAACTAATCGGAAAAAACCGAAAAACCAACAAAACCCGCCATAAACCGAATTAATAAAAAATCGACTTGATTTGATTCTAATATTTGAAAAACCGACTTACTCGGTTTAGTTTTTTTTAGGAACCATGAACACCCCTACCAATATCATACGATCTTCTCTTATTTTCCTAAGATATTTTACTTTGCTCGCTAATTCTAGGCAATAAATAGAAAAGCAATGAATTAAAATTACTACTTCTATTTCTTTTTCAAATTGAATGATACTGTTCATAGTTCATTATGCATGAACTTGAGAGATACTGTAATCTTAACCAAATAATCATGAAAGAGTCCCGTAATGAGTCTATAGCCAAAGATTCTATCCAAATTCAGACCATAGTGCATTTCAAATTAGTCAGGTTTGCTCAGGAGAGACTGCTACTGTGGCTTGCATACAAAACAAACCAACCCTGTTAAATAGCAAGTTTGGGTCAAGAGGAAACGGAGCACCACAAAAAGCTTGACAAACTCTTTATGCATTCCTCTAACAAGTCTAAATGAAAATTTACCCAACATGAATACCACCCAATTTTGACTTGATATACCACAGCTAGCAACAGAGACGGATCCGTGATTTCAAGCTTATGCGTCGGGATTTTAATCGTTTTAAGTTAGTGGATTTCAAATTAATAATTTGTGCATATTCAATGAATTTTTTAAGACAAATACAGGGTTCGAATGCTCTCTGACACTCTAGCTCCGCCCTGGCGAGCAACCCTCTAGCATGATGTTTGATCTAGTCGCCTATGAGAAAGAACAAAAAATTTCCATATTAAACCACACTGATAAAGAAATTTAAACATTCCTTGTTTGATGAGGAATTAGAAGGACAATTGGTTTCAAGTGAAAGAGTACAATGCTGAAAGGAAAGCGCAAATGCAATTCACTGATAACTTTGCATTTGTGTTGATGTCAATTAGTTGCAAGAAAAAGGATCGTATTTATATAAAGCTTTTTTTCTGGAATTCTTCAGTTCTATAGTTATATGTATTCTTTTGGGGAATGAAAAAGTGAAAACTAAAGGAAAGAAGGAGAATGGAGGCTCAACTGATCAGAAACTGAAAGAGAAATCTAGTTACATAAGTTTCTGAATTGCCATCTCACCTACGACAATTACTCTGGGCAGCCACCAATTTGGGTCAGTCCGATTGGTGCAACTTTCTTCTAACTTGGGCACCTCGATTCCTAATTCAATTATTACCATCTCTGTTCGGGCAGAGAATCTCAGTGTGCATGTCCGTACACTCGCAATGTATGAAGGGACAATAGTTGTTGAATGCCATTAAAAATCAATTGGCCTCAAAGTCCACTGACTCTGATAAGGACCAACAATCGATGTTCTAAACCCACCGAGACGGTGTAGCCCTTCTATGGATACACTATTCAATCTGGGACAGCCTAATATATTCATATATGAAAGTGAAGGCATTTCACACAAATGTAAAGGGAGGGAAACTAAGTTTTTACAAATGCAGACCTCCAAAGATTCTAGAGACTGAAAATGCTCTAGCAATCCGTTAGGTAAACTGATCAATCCATCACATTTGTATAACCGCAGACTTTGGAGGGAAGTCAAATGATTCACTCCATTGGGAATAGGAATGGAACTGAATTTGGTGCACCTTTCAATTACTAAGCTCTTAAGAGAATGGAGATTGTACAAACTTTGTGGCAATTCACAAAACTCTCTGCAATTTATGACCGATAGATGTTGAAGAGAAAAATTATTGTGTAGCATCTCATCTGGAAGAGAGGTGAGCTCTTTCACATCATCGACAATAAGATCTACCAGAGATGTCAAGTTGCTGCACAAGTTCAACAATGGCATATCACTGTCAACTCCTTTAATAGTTAATTCACGCAGGATTTCAAATTGATTTGGAGTACTTCTTAACAATGAACAGTTCCTAATCCTCAACTTCTCAAGTCCAGCAAACATTCTTACTCCAACTCCATCTCTACCAACATTTCCTGTTGGTATCAATTCCACTCCCTTCCACTCAGTGAGGCTAGGCATATCATCCAAAACTAGTTCTTTAAGTAATGGGAACACTTGGATATTTGCATTATCGCTGCTTGATCCATTATTGCTAACCTCAACACCATAAAATGTAGGTGCAATGCATTCCACCTCATGGAATCCTACCAGCTCAAGATGCCGAAGGAGTTTAAGTTGGCCAAGTGATGGAACTTCTTTGCACTTTTTGCAACCACTTAATTTCAACTTGACCAGATATGGTAGCAAACCTTCTCTCAACCATGAAGGAAATCTAGTCCCCAAATAGTCCACCACTGCTAAGGTTTTCAAGTTTGGATGTGGCTGAACACCATCCATCCAACACATACTCATTATTGATTTCACAGCCTTCTATTTCATCATGGGACCATAAATATGCCAGCTTGAAGATATTCGGTTTCTCCTGCAAATATGCTGTTTGAGCTTCTTCTCTGTTACGTACCAATTGGAGACCATTGATCGTCAATTCACCTCCAAGGTTTTTCAAATGACCTAATTCGTTAATTCGACGACCTTGCTCTAAACCTACCTTGAAAAATTGTAGGTCTTAAGACAAGTCAATTGCCCCATGTTAAGTGGCATCTGAAAGTGGTCATTAAAGATACATCGTGAACCCCAACCAGTAATGAATTGGTAACAAGAATTGTAATATATGTGTCTCAAACTTATCATATTTCCCATCTCATCTGGAAGCCCCTCGAGTGAAAAGCAGTTATTGACTCTAAAAGTTTGCAAATTGTAAAGCTTGCAAATGGAGTTGGGCAAGGCTTTGATCTCAGTGTAGGAGAGATCAAGATATCTCAAGTATATTAGCTTGCTAATTGAGGCTGACAACTCCTTGATGCCTGACATGGACAGATTTAAAACTCTCAAAAACTGAAAGCTCAATAGCATATCTTCAGATATATTGCTTCTCCAAAACAACGTGCACAAACGTCCTGGCTCATTTATATTATCTATTAGATCACTTGGTGAGTCCCATCCAAAGTATCGAAGTTGAGAAAGATTTTCTCCTCCAACACCTTCCAGATTAAATAGTTTAGATTTTAAAACATCTCCAGCCAAATCATGCACAAGATCATGCATCTTACAGTGTGTTATATCATTGTGCTCATTTAGCTTAACATCTTGCAGCAAGGAATTTTGCAACAAAAGTTGAAAAAACTTGTTCCCAACGTCTTCCATCACAGAGGTCTCTTGACATGGACGAAGAAATCCTTCTGCCATCCAGAGTTGGATGAGTTGGTCCTTTTCAAACTCAAAATCTTTTGGAAACATTGCAAAGTAAGCAAAACATTTTTTCAGATGTGGAGATGGTAGATAAATATAGCTCAGTTTAGGATTTTCTTTAAGCTATTTTCCCCAATATCACCTTCACCTGCAACAAGGCGTTGCCATCAAGAATTGCCTGCCATTCATGTTTTCCCTTATTGCGTAAGAGGCCTCCCAACACATTTGCTGCCAATGGTAGACCTTGACACATTTTAACAACCCCGTTGCCCATGCTCACTATTTCCTCTGGTACCTCCCCATCAGCAAATGCTCTTTGTTTGAAAATGGACCAACAGTGATCTTCTGCTAATTTTCCCAACATATGAAGATGTGCTGCTACTGCGGATGCCACCTGATCCCTACGAGTAGTCACAAGAATGCAGTTTCCTCTGGATATGTTTATTCCTTTCAAGGTGTCCACGAACTCATGCCACAATGTAGGATCGACATGCCACAAATCATCTAGGACAAGCAAATACTTCTTCCCTCCCAATTCATCTTGCAGCTTCTTTACTATTATATCCCGGCTTTGAACCTCAGTTTTCCTCTCTGTCAATGATTCGAGGATCAGTTCAAGATATCTCTTAGTTTCTAACTGTTTAACCAAAAAATAGATTTTTAGTCAAAGCTAGAAATTAGAAGAATCGGGTTACTGATAATCAAAAAAGTAAATAAAGAAAGAAATTTTAGAATAACCAAGTATGAAAGCTGGTAAATCAAAGTATATTCCAATAGACACCCCCCTTACATTTGTTTGTTTCTCCCCTTTTTATAGCTCTTTTGGGATACGAGCCTTACCTTTGTCCTAATAATGCTATTATGGGCAATTAATGACTTTAAATGTTACGTTATACAATTATACATTAAATACATATTTTCTAACGTTTCCAATAATTAATACTCATTAAATATTGTATCTGGGCTCCTTTTTGTTGTCAGATTCATTCCTTTGACTCTTCACTATCTTTGAGTTTCAAATGTCTTGAATAGGTATGAGCGTTGAATTACTTTTATGACTGCTCGCACCCCGCACCCCCTCCATTTAATTTACTCGTATCTAATGTTGCTCGTATCTGTTAACCAACCTTATTTCTTTGACTGTTTGACCAGTCTATATGTCATGACACGTCGCCATATACATAAATATAATTTTCTCCAATACATGTTGGACATTAATCTTGACCACGTGGAATTTGGTAGTAGAACAGAGCCTTGTAAAAGAGTATGAATTGGTTGGTAACTTTATGGCAAATAAGAATTTCACGTGAAAATGAAGGCAACATATAAATTCAAAGCTATGTATGGCAGTTGGTATATAATTTAGTCAATGGACGAAATATATATATCCGATAAGTCTTGAAGTAGGGAGATTTGCATCTATATCCGCTTTTTGGGTCACGTTTTAACTTGTGCCCGCTTTGCAAAAAAAATTGCAAGCGTACCCACTTTTTCGCGTAACTTCAGCATACGGAGCTGAAGTAGCAAAGGCTATCACGCAAAACTTCAGCATTCTAGTAGACGGGGCTGAAGTTTTTTTGTCCTGGATAAGATGCTGAAGTTATTTAGTTCATTTGTAAAAGCTTTAGCACTAAATAACTGAAGTTTTTTTGTCCTGGATTCATTAGTTTTGTCATAAAAAATTTTCAAAAACTTCAGCAGAAGATGCTGAAGTTATTTAGTTCATTTGTAACAACTTCAGCACTAAAATAGCTGAAGTTTTTTTGTCCTGGATTCATTAGTTTTGTCATAAAACTTTTTCAAAAACTTCAGCAGAAGATGCTGAAGTTATTTAGTTCATTTGTAAAAACATCAGCAGTAAATAAGCTGAAGTTTTTTTGTCCTGGATAAGCTTTTTCAAAAATTTCAGCAGAAGATGCTGAAGTTATTTAGTTCATTTGTAAAGTCTTCAGCACTATATAAGCTGAAGTCTTTTTGTCCTGGATTCATTAGTTTTGTCACAAAGCTTTTTCAAAAACTTCAGTAGAAGATGCTGAAGTTATTTAGTTCATTTGTAAAAATTTTAGCACTATATAAGCTGAAGTTTTTGAAAAAACTTTCTAATATACTAGATAAATAATCACCTTATTCTTTCATAGTGTATTACTACTATAAAATAATCAGATTGCCAACAATATCTAAATCATAAATTTTGAAAACAATAAACGTGAAAGAACAGAATTACGTGAAAATATTCACAAATTATTGCCTACTAACTTACGTAATTGTTTATAATTTATTTTTAAATAATCTGATAAACATATTTATGGCAATCATCCCATGAACTGAAGTTTCATAGCAGCACCAACAGCAACAGAAGAAAGAAGAAGAAGAAAACGAAGGAGGAAAAGGAAGAGGAGAAAGGAGGCTGAAGTTGTCTAAAAAGTGGGTACAAGTTAAAACTTTAAAAAAAAATGAGTATAGGTTAAATGGGGGCGACCAAATAGGGCGCCCCGTGCAATTTTTACCTTGATGTAGGGGCATTTGTAGGCATATAAATTTTATTGGAATTAAATTTGTAAAATAATTGAGATTATATTTTAAAATTCAAGATATACTAGGGCAAATAAATTTATTGGGCTAATATAATTGGATTAATTATAAGCCCAATATATATGGATAAAATAAATAAGCCTTAATCTATTGGGCTGGCCCATTAAATTGGGCTAAAGTAATGAGCCCACTTACTTAGGCCAATATGCCATCTTCTTAGAGGCCCAATTTGGTGCCATGTGTCATATGACGTGGCACGCCAAGTCAAGCGGAAGAGCCAACGGGATCATGCCACGTGTCAAAATGACAAGGCATGTCAAGTCAAATTAAAGGGCCAAAGAAATCGCGCCACGTGTGCAAGTGACATGTTCTGGCCAATCAAATGCGGCCTTGTCACACTTCAAATTGATTGGTCGGAAAGAGTTTGTTCTTATCATAACTCTTCCTTCCCACAACTATAAATAGGGGTCTTCATAAACTCAGAAAAGACACCAGAAGTTATAACAAGAAGACAGACGGGAGCTCGTGGATCAAAAGCCACAATTCTCTACAAACTGCAAGTGTTCAAGCATTCAAGCACTTCAACACAAATTTCAAGTATTCAAGATCAAGAACGAAGTCAAATTAAATACAAGGCGTTCAAGATCAAGGCTACTTGTTCGTGAAACAATTCGTGACAACAATCAAAGTGTTCGCGACGGATAAATCAAAATCAAATTCAAATTCAAGATCAAGCTCAAAGGTCCTTGAATTTATACTAGAAAAGTAGAAACGGAGGAATCGTAGAGATTGTACACTCATATTATTTGAAATAAATACTACCATTGTTGCGATAACTTTCGGTCCTGATTTTATTTTCTCGACGCAAATTTATTGTCTACATCCATCTTCAAGAATAATTATTATTAAAGGTAAAATAGAAAAAAATAATTAATTTTATCTTGAACTTCTAAAATAATAAATAGTTTGAGACTATTATTTTTAAAAACCACGAATAACTTGAGACGAAAGGAATACTACTAAGAGCTTTTATAGTAGTAACAGTTTTCAATGTTTTGATATTTTTTCCTAGGTAAAATTATAATTGCCAAATAATTACTATTATGGTTTTCTTACTTTCTTGGCTGACAGTTTCTTCTTTTCACATTTTAATATTTAATTCAAAGGATTAGTTCACTTTTCATGGGAATTGTGAAACTTTCACTTCAGTAAATGCAGAATTGACAATACTTTACCTAGAGCCTAACAATTATTGGTCTAAGAAAAAGCAATTATTTGGTTCAAAAAACTACAAATATATGGAGACCAACCTTGACTTCTTTCATTCTTTTTCTTCTTTTCCGAAAATTGAGAATACCAAAAAAAAAAAAATGAATAGGAAAAGTCAGTTCAATAATAGAGAATAGGTGGAGCTAGTAAACAGACCCATTATGAAGATGTACGAGATCTTAGAATTTTTACTTCTGCTATAATTGATAATGTTAAAGTAATTTTCATTCCATTTGAATAAAATATAAGTATACGCTGAAGTAAATGGTATAGTACAATATCTTTGAAATATTTGTCGGGGAAGTTGCTATTTTGGGAAATTTTTTTACTCCCTCCGCCCATTTTAACTATAGCTTTAGCTCAAAGAAATTATTGTAAAATAATTATCACTTTAGGAATTCAAAACTATATTTATTATTTGTCTCTGTTACATCCCGTACTTTAATATTAGGATAAGTCATGGTAATTCACATGTGCTTGAAGGGATAGAGACTATTCATGAGATCATAAAGGATTTGTGACTATATTATTGTAAGTCCCCGTAAGTTTAACAACTTTGATACCGTTATATACATTTGATATGGTATTTTGAGTGGAATATTTTTGTAAAGCAATTTGAAAAATATAAATTTATATAATTATTAATATTACTACTTTCAATTATACTCATAATATGAGAAAGTTTATGAGATTTTCTTTATTGTAAAGATATAAATTATTTTCTAACAAGAAAAGAATGATATCTTTTTACCATTTTAAGAATTAAGTGTACGAAAATTTGTACTCTTTATATGAGATTAGGAAAATTAGAAGTTCAGAAAATATATGCATTTTTTTCATGGATGTTTTAATGAAACAATAGTGTGTGTATTGATTTTATATGTTACCACATGACCATGATAGTAAGTTATATAAAGTGTGTTAAAAGTGAATAGTATTTTAAGTAATTTGAGATAATTCTTTATTATGCGGGTAATTAATTAATTACCGGATAGCGAAATATTACCTAATTAATTAATTGATTATGGGATAAGATTAAAACCCCTCCTCACCCCCACGTGGCAGCAAAACACCAACCAAACAAATGACTCTTGGTCATTTATGATTAGGTGGCAACCTATTGTAGTAATTTCAAGACACATATTTCTAGGATCTTGAATACAAAGACTAAAATCAGACATGACCTTTTGCACATTAGCAATTCCTACAAGATATTCCTAACATCTTCAACATTGTTCTTACAAAATCTTCAACCAATTCCTACAAAAGAAATCCAACGAAATTTCTTAGCATATTAGCAATGATTTTGCGATTCTAAGGGAGTACGGTGCAATCTTTTTCAAGAATATTATACGGATTTTTTCCTACTCCAAGTATGTTAAGGCTAATCCTTCCTTCTTTTGGCATGATCCAAGTAACGATACGTAAACATAATGTTATTCCATAAGTGGTTCTACTCTTAATAGTTAAGGATGTCTATGTTATTCATTCTCGTAAAGTGATATTCAAGCATGTCTACGTACGTATCTAGTTCTCTATTGAGGTATTTGATAAATATGTTAATGTTCATAATATCGTAATACATGTATCTTCATGCATATGTATTTACCACCGAGCTACGGCCGGTCGGGCAGTCATGCATTAACCACCGAGCTACAGCTTGGGCAGTCATGCATATTCATTTACCACCGGGCTACAGCGGGTCGGGCAGTTACCACCGGTTGGGCAGTTATGTATCATTATTTACCACCAGTTGGGCAGTCATACATTTATCACCGTACGACAGCCGGTCGGGCAGTTACCACTGATCAGTTGGGCAGTCATGCATTATACATATGGATAATGGTCTCAAAGAGAAGTATTATATATATATATATACACACATATATATATATATATATATATATATATATATATATATATATATATATAAAAGTATAATAAGTATGCATGCACTTTAGAGATTCAGGTTGATTCTTATATGTCTTTAATTAATGTTGACTTATTGTTATATTTCAGTTCTGCCTTATATACTCAGTACATTATTCGTACTGACGACCTTTTGCTGGGGACGCTGCATTCATGCCTGCAGTTATAGATAATCAGTTTGACGAGCCCTCATAGTAGACCAGTTTGGCATTCAACGAAGGATCGTTAAAGTCCACCTCATTCGGAGTGCAATCGAGTCTATGAGTCATCGTGTCTGAGTTTTACTACAGACTTATGGGTAGGCCGGTACCCTGTCCCATTTGATGTCAAACAATCTTAGAGGCTTTGTAGACAGAGGTTCATTTTGTACAATATGTCAGAAGCCTTGACGGCCCATATGTATTCATATTTTAAGAAAAATAATTCAATGATACAGTGTTATTGTCACGACCCAATTTAGGATTGTGACCGGCGCTTAGGAGCAAGTGCTCCCAAGTTAGCCTCATCGGTAATTTTACAGAAAATCGGACAGAGTTTCTCCTGTTTTTGGACCATCCCTAAAATTTTCCCGTCTCAAATGAACAACTAAACATCCTAATATCATACCAAATAATTGACAACTTGTCAATTAACCAATACAAGTCTCCACCATAACTAAACCACCAACTAACCACTAAAAATACTAATTTATCTCCAACTTTGATAAATGAGAACGATACTCAACATAAGACTATAATAACAAAAGAATACTCATGACACTAAAATAATGACTATGGAGAGACTCTAAGAATTCAATGAAAAGACCATAACAATAAATAAAATCTCTGCCCACGCGAACAAGTGCGAGGCTCACCGAGAAATATCGACTTGTGCGCTCTAATTAACGAAATCCTCGCCTGCGTCAACTGCTGTCTCTGTAAAATAATTAGCGGGGAATGAGTCGCTAGCTCAGTGAGTAATAACACTTAACCACAACCGTTTTTTTTGGGGACAAGTCAGAAACATGCTAGTATCTCAAAGAGAAAATACATAAAAATGTCCTTTCAGAAACACTAAATAATTTTCAGTCTCATCACGCTTTTCTTGTAGTAAAATATAATTAACAATTCAATAATAAGCTCGGTAACCACTGTATAATATCAGTATTCAAATTCATATTTTGGGAGGTTTCAATGAACGGATCATGTAATCGGTATACTGTGGACTTCTTTACAAGAAGTCATATATAACGGTAGTCCCTACTCGAGGGAAATCGGTAATGGTATGGTAGTTCTACCTTCCCACTAGCTAGGGCTATAACGGTAATCGGTAATTACAAGGTGCACCAGGTCTAACGAATCCGCCGTTAGCTACGGGATCCTTCAATGTCTACTCCCATTTATACTTGTCTCTGTATCCATATATACTCGTAGAAACTATTTTAAAACAATATAGGGCATTTCGGTTCTATCAAATCATATAATTTCCTTTCGATATAAATTCAAGTAACGGTAAAACAGATCTAGTGACAACGAAAATATTTAAAACCACGATATTCATCTCAAATAACTATTTCGGTATCATATCGAGTAAAAGAGTTGTCCCACATGCAACTCAAAATAATCGGTAACATATTCATATTGAAAATCATGTGTAAATCATGCAAGTTATGAAAATACAAATTGCGGTAAGATTACTACTCACAGTACTCGTGCCGAAATACCAAATGCTTCACCTCGAGCATACAAATTCCTCCAATCAATCTATAATTACAGCAATCTCATGTTAGTTTCCTTATTTACGCTAATCATAGCTAATTTAGAATACCCGACCCTCGAGGTTTCATATTTGACTCTTATTCGCCGAATTATATTTACCCACCTATGAGTAATTCAACTAGTCCATAATCTATCAATTTCAACTTGTATAATTTATTAATCCAATTTCATAAAGTTCTATTGATTCTTTAGGACGAAAATTCTCAATCATCATGTAATAATTAGCTAATCATTAGAATTAAAAATTGAAGACAATAAACTTTGAAACAGTGTAGCAGAACCCGAAACACATCGTGTACTCTTTTCTTAACATTGTGCACATAACCTATATTTAATTTAACTCCTTAATATGCATAATAATCACCATTATTAGACAATTATTACTCCACACACATTCTGCCCCAATTATTAGGTAATCATCTTTCCCTAAATTTAAAGAATAAATCCTGTAGAAGAGTAGTAATTTCTTTCTAGCAGCATATTTGTTTCTTCTATATCCAATTCCCAGAAGTCATTGCTATATTATTCCCTAGTCTCCAGATAATTGGTAAGATAATTACAAACTAAATTATGTGTAAGGTCAGTGTCATGTATAGGAATGAATATCTGAATTCTAGTTTCCTCCCTCACTTTTCTTCTCCAACTATGGTCGCCGCTCACCCGATTCCGCTTCTCTTCGTTCTATTTTTTTCCTTTCTTTCTTAGCGTTTTGTAGCTTCTATTGTTTAGCAGCAGCTTTGCTGCCTTTTGCCCTTTTCGTTTCTCTTTCCTCCTGATGGGCTTTAGCCCATTCTCCTGTTATTTCTTTTTTTTTTTAACTTTAGTTAAAGACTTATATGCCCTTATTAGTATATAGGGTATTACAGTTGTCCGCCTATAGTTATACATTATGAGTTGTGGCCATGTTGGCCCATGATAGTTACAAAGAAAAAAAAAGAGTTGCAGAGTGGTTCGCTCGGGCCAGTGTGGCACCGGGTGCCAGCCACGCCTCCCTAGGGTTGGGGCGTGACAGTCTCCAACTATACCCTTAGTATTAAAGAAGTAATAGTTCTTTTTTAATACTTCTCAATTCTCAAAAAGCACTTAACAAGGTAGTTGTGATGTCACACATCGTATTGAGCGGAGTGGCTGAAATGGAGGTTAACATCCGGTGTCTTGTGGATAAGAACGTGTCACCAAGACTTAAAGGTAAGTTCTACAAAGTGATGGTTAGACCACTATGTCTTATAGAGTGGATTATTAACCAATCAAGAACTCTCATGTCTAGAAATAAGCAACAAAGATAAGGATGCTGATATAGATGTGTGGACATACTATGGAGAGATATGATCAGGAATGAAGATATTCGAGGCAAGTTAGGTGCGGCCTCTGTGGTGAACAAGATCAAGAAGCAAGGCTGAGATCGTTCAGGCATGTGGAAAGGAGGTGTGAGAGATGTTGGGTTTTTATCTAATTAGATAAAAGGTGTGAATGGAAATGGGAGGAAAATATTTGGAGGGAAACGAAAAGTTTGAAGTTGTTTCCTTTACTAATGCACTTTGTCCCTCATCAAAAAATAGAAAGGAAATCTATGTGCTTATATGGAGAAGCACATCTTCTAGCTCTTCAAGAGTTAAGAAGAAGTGGTGCCTCGCGCCGTCGTCATCGCTTGCTCGACTCGGCTTCGACTTGATTGATAATTTTTTGGACCATATTTGTTTCCCGTTTTTCGTTATATAATTTCTTTACTAATATTTTTTTGCAGTATTTTAATTTAAGATTCGTCGTTGCCAACAGTCATTTTGAGTTTAATTCGTGACCAGACTTCTGCCGAAATGGTACCTCATATGAATAGGTACCTTCGCACCTATTCAACCAGATTGTTGGGCTATAGATTCAGAGGTTTTGCCTTATTTTTCAGCACCGAAAATCTGCATACTCTCCCCTCTCTCTTCTGCATTTCTGCACTGTTTTTTATAGCAAACGTCATAAGTGTGAATTACTGCCGTTTGTTGAGTTCGACGAAGTTCCGTATTCTTCATTGTCAGTATTACAAAATAGTTGTTCCATTCTATCCTGGGAGGGATTAATCCAATAACCTTGGGCGACAGTGAGGGATTAAATTTCTTAAGAAAACACAGTTTACTATTGGGCTCGAAACTTTTATTTATTCTGTTTCTGCTTCTGTCTGTACTATTTTTATGCAAAAATTATTTTCAAACACAGGTTGAGAACAAGCTTAAGGAATTTAATTTTTATATTCTGTGTTCATCTTACTTTCTGTTTTGGGAGACAAAAATCCTAGCGATTTTCTACTCCCGTTTTAGAGATTAAAATCTTCGGATTTTTTACTCCAGTTTGAGATTAATGTCTTTCTGACTTTCTACTCAATCTGACATTAAAATCTTTGTGATTTTCTACTCGGTTATTTGTATTCGGTTTGAAGATATAAAAACTTCACCGACTTACCAATTCTGGTTGTGTCAATTTCTTTTATAGAAAATTAACAACAAGTACGGAACAATAGAATGGTTCTATTGGGACTACCACTGCTGCAATGGCTACTGCGTCTTCAAGTCGCACAGCTCCTGCACCGGCAGAAAAGCCCGAAAAGTTTTCCGGCGTGGACTTTAAGTGTTGGTAGCAGAAAATGTTCTTCTACCTGACCACACTCAATTTATGGCGCCTTATCATGGAGGACGTTCCAGTTCTAGGAGAAGAAACTCTTGAAAATGAGCGATTTGTGGTCACGGAGGCATGGAACCATTCTGACTTCTTATGCAAAAATCATATTTAAAGTTGCTCAGAATACGACTTGTACAATGTTTTTAGCATCATGAAAACATCACGAGAGTTGTGGATTGCTCTTGAAAAGAAGTACAAAACTGAAGATACTGGACTTAAGAAGTTTGTGGCCGCCAAATTTCTAGATTTTAAAATGGTTGACGGCAAATCTGTAATAATGCAAGTCCAAGAAATGCAAGTGATTGTTCATGACCTCCTTGTTGAAGGTATAAATCGAGTAAATATATTTATTCAAGATATTGATTACTTTATAATAATAAATTTATGATCGAAGTTATGGTCATAAATGAAGCATTTCAAGTTGCGGCATTTATAGAAAAGCTGCCTTCGCCGTGGATGGACTTTAAGAATTACTTGAAACATAAGCGCAAGGAGATGACGCTTGAAGACCTTATTGTTTGTCTACGGATTGAAGAGGACAACAAGGCTGCAGAGAAGAAGTCCCGCGGTAACTCAGCAATAATGGAAGATTTTTTTTTGAGGAAGCGTCTACAAGCAACATAAAAAGAAAGAAGTCGTCTGGTCCAAAGAATTACCCGAGCAAGAAGAAATTCAAAGGTAATTGCCACAACTGTAAAAAAAGTTGGACATAAGGTTGTGGACTGCCGTGCACCGAAGAAGGACAAGAAGAAGATTCAAGCAAACATGGTTGAAAAGAATGATGAAATGGAGGACTTATGTGCCATGGTATCTGAATGCAGCTTGGTAGGAAATCTCAAGGAGTGGTGGATTGATTTTGGAGCCACTCTTCATATTTGTGCTAACAAAGAGTTATTTGCCTCTTATGTTCCAGCATGGCCCGACGAGACTATCTTTATGGGAAACTCGGCAATAGAAAAAATTGAAGAAGTTGGACATATATCTTTGAAGATGACTTCGGGCAAAGTTGTGACTCTAAATAGTATTCTCCATGTTCCTGAAATTCACAAGAATTTGGTCTCTGCTGAACTTCATATCAAGAATGGATTTAAGTGAATGATTGTTTCTGAAAAAAGATGTAATAAGTAAGAATGATGTGTTAGGAAAAGGTTACCTAACTGAGGGTCTTTTCAAGTATAATGTAATAGCTATTGATATCAATAAAGTCCAAGCTTCTTCTTACTTACTTGAGTCAAATAATTTATGGCATGCATGTTTATGTCACGACCCAAGTTCTCCCTCCATGAACTGTCATGACAGCACCTAGTCTCTACGACTAGGTAAGCCTACCAATTTACGAAAAAGAAACGAAATACGAAAACGAATAAAAACTGAAGAAATAAACAAAATAGAAACGTTTAAGATGCCTCTCGACATAAACCAATACATGTTCTCAAAAACTGAATCAACTCCCAAAACCCGGAATCTCATGAAATCACAAGCTGAGAAACACTACATAAGGTTCTAACTCCAGAATGCCTAGTCAAAAGAAAGTACAAAAGATCTAAAGCTAACAGAGGGAATAGAGAGAGACTCCTCGGTCTGCGGACGCAGCAGATATACCTCAAAGTCTCTGAAGGTCGTCTCGCCTCACAAACGGTATGGCTGAGCCAATGAACCTGGATCTGCACACGAAAACATGTGCAGGATAGGGCATGAGTACACCACGACGGTACCCAATAAGTGCCAAGCCTAACCTCGGTCGAGTAGTGACGAGGAAGGTTAGGGCCCTACCGATAATATGCATATATATATATATATATATATATATATATGTATGTATATATCAAAAGATAAAAACAGTATGAAGTAACACAGGATAACAAAGATAATAACATCTACAACGGAGAGAGAAATCGCAAAAAGAAAGTAACTCCACACAGAGATGGCAACAGGGGATCTCCCAAGATATCGTCCTGTAGTCCCAAATGTAAATATCCAATGGATCTCCCGGGATATCATCCCGTAGTCCAGTTCATAATGCGCAGGGGATCTCCCGGAATGCAAATCCGTATTCCCAAATGTAAATGTCCAGTACAGGGGGGAATCTACCGGGTGCTGTCCCATAGTCCCAATATAAATGTGCAGGGGGATCTACCGGAATACCAATCCGTAGTCCCAAATAGACATACAAGGGGATCTCCCGGGATATTGCTCGTAGTCCCAAAGTAAACATACAACATCATCACAAAGAATATTCAATTCTATCCGATTTTATACCAAGGAAAAACATATATTTCTAACCTAGCATGCTGCACAGAATTCAAATAAAGCAGTTTGAGCAAGTAAAGCAATTAAGTCACTTAGACATGCTTCCCTAAACTAACAGTAGGCTCAAATTGCAAGTAGTGTACACAAGGAAGAAAACACAATTATAGTTACTTAATGAAAGCATGATTTTCAACAATTAGCACATGTACGCACTCGTCACCTCACGTACAAAGTATTTCATATATCAACAATACCAAATCCTAAGGGGAGTTCCCCCACACAAGGTTAGGCAAGCTACTTACCTCGAACCAGCTCAATCAACTCGAAACCACGCTCTTGCAACGAGTATCCAACTCCGGGTGGCCCAAATCTAATCAAATTAATCGCATAATGTAAATATAACTTCATGTAGCTAATTCAACTAATAAATTCGAAGCTAACACACGAAATTAGGAAAATCGCCCAAAAAGTCCCTCGGGCCCACGTCTTGGAATTGGATAAAATTTACAAATTCAAAATGCCCAATCACTCACGAACACACTCGAACAAAAATCACCAAGATCCGACGTCAAAATCCCACTCAAAACTCAAATTTTCAATTGGGGAAACCTTCTCCCATTTTCCAAACTTTTACCCCCAGTTTCCTTAATTAGAATAGGAAAACAACAATAGAATATAAATCTAGGATCAAAATCAAGATAGAAAACGTTACCCAATGTTTCTCCTTCAAAAACCCTCGAGAAATCGCCCTCAACCGAGCTCTAAATCATTTTTTCCAAGTTTTGAGTTCAAACCCTCGTTCTTCCCTTTTTTTGAACAACAATATCCGCTTCTGCGACCATGGGACCGCACCTGCGCTCCCGCTTCTGCGGCAAATGGACCACACCTGCAACTTTGCATTAAAGCCCAAATTCCGCACCTGCGACCTCTTACCCGCAGATGCGGTGCCGCTTCTGCGGTACCTGGGCCGCATCTGCGACCAATTTCAACATTGCCTCAGACCGCACATGCGGTCCCCCAACCGCTTCTGCGGTGCCCCACCTGCGGTCCCATACACGCAGGTGCGATTATGACAGGTTCAGCAGAGCTTCAGATTTTCCTAAGTCCAATTCAACTTCCGTTAAGCACGCGAAACTCACCCGAGGCCCTCGGGTTCTCAACCAAGCATGTCAACAAGTCACATAACACTATTCAAACTTGTACCAACCCTCGGAACACTCGAAACAACTTCGGAACACCAAATCACCCTCGGATTCAAGCCTAAGGATTCCAAAACTTCCAAATTCCGCTTTTGATCAAAAAGTCTATCAAACCACGTCCGAATGACCTAAAATTTTGCACACATGTCCCAAATGACACAACGGACCTACTCCAACTTCCAGAATGCCATTCCGACCTCGATATCAAAATTTCACTATCGAACCGGAAACTTCAAAAATTCGACTTTCGGCATTTCAAGCCTAATTAAGCTATGGACCTCCCAAACACAAACCGAACGCGCACCTATGCCCGAAATCACCCAACGAAGCTAACGGAATAGATGAAATTTCATTCCGAGGCCGTCTTCACACGATCCGACTACGGTCCAAATTCTAAAGCTTAAGTTCTCAATTAGGGACTTAGTGTCCCAAAAAACTCCGAAACTCAAAACGAATCCTCCCGAAAACTCACAATAGCAGAAACAAACACGAGGAATGCAGTTAATAGGGGATCAAGGCGTTAATTCTTGAAACGACCGGTCGGGTCGTTATATCCTCCCCTTCTTAAAACATTCGTTCGTCCTCGAACGAGCATAGAGACATACCTGAAGTGGTGAAAAGATGAGGGTAACGGCTGCGCATATCCAGCTCGATCTCCCAAGTTGCCTCCTCGACTGGCTGACCCCGCTACTGAATCTTCACTGATGCAATGTTCTTTGATCTTAGGTTCCAAACCTGCCTGTCCAATATCGCCACTGGCTCCTCAACATAAGATAGATCCTTGTCCAATTGGACTGAACTGAAATCCAACACATGCGACGGATCACCATGATACTTCCAGGGCATCGAAACATGAAATACCGGATGAACTCCTACCAAGCTGGGAGGTAAGGCAAGCTCATAAGCAACCTCCCCAACACGTCTCAATATCTCAAAAGGACCAATAAACCTCAGATTCAATTTCCTTTTCTTCCCAAATCTCATAACGCCCTTCATAGGCGAAACCCGAAGCAAGACCCACTCTCCAACCATGTAGGAAATATCACGAACCTTCCGGTTCGCATAACTTTTCTGTCTGGACTGGGCTGTACGGAGTCTATCCTGAATCACCTTAACCTTCTCCAAAGCATCCTGAACCAAGTCTGTGCCCAATAATCTAGCCTCAACCTGACTCAAACCAACCCACTGGGGATCTACACCGCCTACCATACAAAGCCTCATACGGTGCCATCTGAATGCTGGACTGATAACTTGTAGGCAAACTCCGCCAGTGGCAAGAACTGATCCCAAAAACCTCCAAACTCCATCACACACGCACGGAGCATATCCTCAAGAATCTGAATAGTGCGCTCAAACTCTCTGTCCGTCTGGGGGTGAAATGTTGTGCTCAACTCCACCCGAGTACCCAACTCATGTTGTACGGCCCTCCATAACCGTGATGTGAAGTGAGTACCTCTATCTGAAATGATGGAAACTGGAATACCATGTAGACGAACAATCTACCGGATATAAATCTCCGCCAATCTCTCCGAAGAATAGGTAGTACACACAGAAATGAAGTGTACGGACTTGGTCAGCCGATCCACGATCACCCAAATGGCATTGAACTTCCTCAAAAGTCCGTGGGAGTCCAACTACGAAGCCCATGGTGATCCGTTCCCACTTCCACTCTGGAATCTCTATCTGCTGAAGCAAACCACCCGGTCTCTGGTGCTCATACTTTACCTGCTGACAATTGAGGCACCGAGCCATGAAACCAACTATATCCTTCTTCATCCGCCTCCACCAATAGTGCTGTCTCAAATCCTGGTACATCTTCGCCACACCCGGATGGATGGAATACCGCGAACTATGGGCCTCTTCTAGAATCAACTCCCGAAGCCTATTAACATTGGGTACACAAATCTGACCCTGCATCCTCAAAACCCCGTCATCACCAATGGTAACATATCTGGCATCACCTTGCAGAACCTTGTCCTTAAGGACAAGCAAATGAGGGTCATCAAACTGACGCTCGTAGATAGGATCAAACAAGGAAGACCGAGAGATCACACAAGCAAGGACCCGACTGGGCTCCGAAAGATCCAATCTCACAAACGGGGTGGCTAAGGCATGAACACCCATTGCCATGGGCCTCTCTGCTGCTGGTAGATAATGCAAACTCCCCAAACTCTCCGCCCGGCGACTCAAAGCGTCGGCCACCACATTGGCATTGCCCCGGGTGATACAAGATAGTGATATCATAGTCCTTCAGTAGCTCTAACCACCTACACTGGCGCAAATTAAGGTCCTTCTGCTTGAACAGATGCTGCAAACTCTGGTGATCAGTATAAATCTCACAAGGCACCCCGTACAAATAATGATGCCAGATCTTCAAGGCGTGAACAATAGCAGCTAACTCGAGATCATGGACAAGATAATTCTTCTCATGTACTTTCAACTATCTGGACGCGTAGGCAATCACCCTACCGTCCTGCATTAATACCTCTCCAAGTCCAATCCTCGAGGCATCACAATAGACAGTATAAGACCCCGAACTGGTAGGCAATATCAAAACTGGAGCTGTAGTCAAAGTTGTCTTGAGCTTCTAGAAGCTCTCCTCACACTCTTCCGTCCACTGGAACAGAGCAGCCTTCTAGGTCATCC